ATATAACTAATTTAACTTATAATGTTAAGAGTTATAAAGCAGTTCCGCCCATTGGTGACGTCGAAGTACGATTCAGCAATCAACGGGGCATCTACGTACATGTATTTACGTCTGTGCTTTCGGGTCCCAAGTCAGCTGCCGTACCTCTACCCCATCATGTGATCTAATATTAATTATTATAAGGGTATTATAATTATTTTCTTCTTTCGGCTGATCTCTTCTTCAGGGGTCACCACAGAGAACTAACTCGCACAAAGACTTGGTGATTGTTTTTACTCTGGATGTCCTTCCTGATGCAACCACAGACCACCGAGCTACCACAGCCTCTGATCTAGGGCTTCTGGGGGAGCAGATGGTGGGGGTTAAGGGCCTTGCTCAAGGGCCCAGAATGGGACAAATGAGGGTGGAGGCAGGTGTGGGTGCTTCATCTTTCCTACCCATATTTTGATGTTGTCGGTCTGGGGAGTTGAACCGGCGACCTTCCGATCACACAACCTTCTCTAACCTCTGCACCACCACTCCCCTATACGAGTATACTAGTATAATAAACTCAATAACATCTCTGTTTATACCTGATTTAATGTTGATGCACAGAAACAAATGAATTTAGAACATGTTGACAATCGTGCTATATTTAAAAATCACAATTCCAGCACTCAGGACACACAGCTTAAATCAATAACTTATTTATATATTTATTTTTTTATTTAGGAACAAGGCAACATTTTTTATTTAATCACAAATAAGAATACATTTTAAATTTACATCAATTTAAAAATGAGTGTTTGCCAAACCAGCAGAAAGTCAGCAGGTTGTCTAAAACCACAGTGATTGTTAATGAACAGTCTGTGGCAGCAGATATAACAATAACAATAACAATAATAATAATAATAATAATAATAATAATAATAATAATAATAATAATAATAATTTCCTGCAGGATCAATAAAGTTCTATCTTATCTTTTACACAGCTCCGGAAGATGATTAAAGCTACATGGGCAGCTAAACCACGGCTCCAGTAAAGACCTTTTAGCTACTTTTGTAGTGGATGCCTGCATGTAGACAAACTGTAAAAAGACTTTATTTTAAACAGATTGTATTTTATCAGTACAAAGATTTAAAACACCTGGATTTAATCTAAAACCTGCATTGGTGCACGGCTGCTCTACCGACGCAGTCGCATTGTGCACGTGTGCTTTGGTGGATCGGTTATCTTCACATCCCTCATCCAAGCAGCAGACTCCAACAAAACTATCACCACATATTTTTTTATATATATAATTCTAAAAGAGTTGTACTTATTAGCCAGAATATTAGTTTTTATTAGCTGTCTGAGAGCCAGACAAGCTGATATTTTTGGGTTAATTAGCTCAGATTTTAGCTTCAGCTGTGAGCCTTGCTGCATTTATTTCACCTCCTTGTTGTAAAGAATATTTCAAGACAGTCTTTGGTTTGGGACGGTGACATGTTAATACTGTGGAAAACAAACAACAAGCCAGTGCCTCGTTATATTTACAGTAACACTTATTCTTACAAGAAATATATTTAGCGTTATGTAGCTTTTAACCTCCAACTTATTTCCTCAATCTGAATGCGAGTCAACAAAACCTAGCACAAAGCAGCCTGGGGGAGCCTTACCCTAAATGCCTCGGTGTAGTCCAGTCGAGACACCAGCACTAGGCTCTTGGGTGCAAAGACTTTAGCTGGTTGGATGACAGCCAGCTCTTCGTCTGCCTCATCTGCCACTCCCGCCTCATTCTTCTTTAGCTGAACGGAGCAGAAAAGCAAACAGAACTGTCATCCCATGATACAGGAATAAATACTTCAAATTAAAGACAATTAACCTAAATAAAAAGTAATGTATCTGTGCCTCAAAATGCATAAAGAGCTTGTTCATGACACCCTGGGTCATTCCTCAGAGCTTTACAATGTCTCAGTAGCCATGTCTGGCAAATGTTCAACATGCATAAATATTATTCTGATATATACAGTGGTGCTTGAAAGTTTGTCAACTCTTTATAATTTTCTATATTTCTGCATAAATTTGACCTAAAACATCATCAGATTTTCACACAAGTCCTAAAAGTAGATAAAGAGAACCCAGTTAAACAAATGAGACAAAATATTATACTGAGTCATTTATTTACTGAAGAAAATGATCCAATATAATAATAATAATATAATAAATTTTATTTCAGGGTGCCTTTCAAAAACCCAAGGTCACCTTACAAAAACAATTAAAATCAGCAATTAATAAAAACAGAATCAACAAATAATTAAAATAAGTCACGATAAAACAACACTTAAAACAAAGTTAAAGCGAATATGCCTGTTTGAACAGGTGTGTTTTCAGTTGTGATTTAAAAGAGGGAAGAGAGTCTGTGGTCCTGATGACAGGAGGGAGTTCCAGAGCTGAGGAGCACAGCGACTCAAGGCTCTGTTCCCCATGGTGACGAGACGGGCAGAAGGAACAATAAAATGAGTGGCAGATGAGGATCTGAGGGAACGGGAAGCAGTGGAGATGTGAAGCAGATCACACAGATAAGGAGGGGCAAGGTTATGGATGCACTTGAACGTGAGAGTTAAGATTTTAAAATGTATTCTAGCTTTGATGGGCAACCAGCGAAGCTGCTGCAGAACCGGGGTGATGTGTTCTCTGAATGGGGTACAAGTCATGACCCGAGCTGCAGAGTTCTGGAGGAGTTTGAGTTTACGGAGAGTCTTATTCGGGAGATCAAAAAAAAGAGAGTTGCAATAATCTATCCTGGAGGTGATAAGGCTATGGACAAGGATGGCAGCAGCACGAGGAGTAAGAAAGGGACGAAGTCGGTTGATGTTACATAAATGAAAGTATGCAGACCGGGTGATAGAGTTAATATGAGATTGAAATGAAAGCGTATTATCAAGTATGACACCCAGACTCTTTACCTGAGGGGAAGGAAGAACATGGGAGTCGTCAATATTGATGGAAAAACTCTGCGATTTGGTTAAAGTGGAGACTGTGCCAACAAGTAAAACTTCTGTTTTCTTACTGTTGCGTTTAAGAACATTTGAAGAAAACCATGATCTAATTTCCATAAGACAGTCCGATAGGGAGGTAGGTGGAAGAGATGAATTAGGTGTTGACGAAATGTAGAGCTAGGTGTCATCTGCGTAACAGTGAAAATTGACATTATGTTTGTGGAATATGTGGCCAAGAGGGAGCATATAAATAATAAATAAAAGGGGCCCTAATACAGAATCCTGGGGCACACCTGCAGCAATGGGAAACAAACTTGAGGAATGGGTTTTAAATTGAATAAACTGAGTGCGGCCTGAAAGATATGAATTAAACCAAGCAAGTGGAGTATGACTGATCCCAATGGACGCTAAAACATCATCAGATTTTCACACAAGTCCTAAAAGTAGATAAAGAGAACCCAGTTAAACAAATGAGACAAAATATTTTACTGGGTCATTTATTTACTGAAGAAAATGATCCAATATTACATATTTGTTAGTGGTAAAAGTATGTGAACTAACTAGGATTATCAGTTAATTTGAAGGTGAAATTAGAGTCAGGTGTTTTCAATCAATGGATGATGATCAGGTGTGAATGGGCATTTAAAATTTAAAACTCCAAGCTCAGTGGGAGGCTTGGATGACTAGCAGGACGCCGTGTGCAGTGTGCAGGAGGAAGATGAAGATGAAGATAGTGATCAATGACTTCCTGGTAGGCTACTGTAATAAAAAAAAACAACAACAACATTACTATAAGTATTTGTGTATGTTAAAGTAAAAAAAAAAAATCTGTGTAAATATCTCATGTACAAAATGGACACCTGCAGTTTATAGACAAGTGCAGCCTATTTATATGCAATTTTTTTAAATTTAGTGGGCGTGGCTTATATACAAGTACGCTCAATAGTCCAGAAATTACGTGGTACAAGCAATGAATACTTTAAGTTTTATTAAAAACGGTTTACAAGCCCATGCAATATTCTGCTAACAGTTAAACAGGGTTAGGCTCTGTAACAAATGCCAGTTTGAATTTTACAGCAAGATGTTGCACAATGTGTAGTGCTCAGTGTGTGCTTGGAAAAAAAAAAAGACCAGCTACTATAACACCAAACTTTAGCTCAATTTTTGTAAAACTGGCTGAGTTGTAGCTCGTTCTATTTTTTCTTATGTAGCTTGGCTGTGGCAGCCATCTTGAATAGGGTTAACTCCAAACCAGTTAAAGATTTACATTTAGTTTTTTCCAGAGTCACTAATATCCATCCAGTAGTTCATGACATATTTTTCTAACATGACTGACAAACAGATGTGCACACAAGCAAAATCATAATTGCCTCACCTTTGGCAGAGTGTGCTAAAAAAAAAAAAAAAAAAAAAAAGATTTTTTTTTTTGTTAAACTGTAGATGAAGCGTTGCAATGACGTCGTAACAGATATTTGTTACAGGAGCTGTAATCACCAGCAGCTGCCACAGTGACAACCATTAGCTGAGGCCCATCTCACCTGTGGATTGTCCAAACTCTCCCAAAAAGTAAAGCAGGCACAGTAGTGACGCTCTGAGTTGATGTCAGTGAGAACTGCAACAAAGAAGGAGGCCGGCTGCCGCTCAGGAACCAGCTGCCAACCGCTGGGCTGACAAAACTAGAGGCCGGGAGTTGAGGAGCGTCAGGGTTCGAGTCGAGGCAGCAACAGGATCATGGAACAGAAGGTGAAGGGAAGAAAGGAGAAAACGTTAAAAATAGATTAGTGTAAAGAACTTCAGTCACACATTTTTAACCCTTTGAAGACCTTACAGGGAAAACTCAGCCACACTTTTATTTTTGTCTGTTTTCATGTATTAATTTATTTTGGTGCAGTCAAGATTTTTTCCAGACAAAAAATGCTTTTATAGTACTTTTATTTATTTATTTTTTGGCCAGAATTATTTAAATGCTCCCATAACCTCACAGTAACTTTATTACACTCCCATGTCCCTTAGGGACAGATCTGCCATCTTAAAATATACCGTAAATACATTTAATCCAACATTAATCCTATAAAATAATGCATACCCTCAGTAAAGTTTTTCTTTTCATCTCTATCCCTATACAGTAGTCCCTCGCTACTTTGCGGTTCCACTTTCGCAGACTCACACTCTATCGCGGTTTGTGGAGTCCAACTTATCGTACTGTACTTTTATTTTATTTTTTACACACGACTGGACTGTACACTAATATCACTGTACTCATAATTGTGAAAAAGTTAGACAAAAAAATAATTCGAACAAGCACCGCCATTTTGTAGTTTTCTTTCAACACAGTAATTCTACACTATTGCCAGTCCAAAAGAACTTCATTACCCACAAAGCAACAGTGCATTTCCCACAAAGCAACAGTGCATTTCCCAGAATTCAACAGTGCTTCCAGCCCACTGCTCTCTGCCAAAATGGAAGAAAAGTTTAGATCTGATCCAAACCTGATTAAAAAGTTTGGTCCTTATTCGTAGTTACGTCAGCACTCAGTGGCTGCACAGAGCCGATCAGAATCCGACCAGAACCGGACCAAGGCTGGTGAGTCCCCAAATAAAATGTTGCTGTAGCTACTGTGCAGTACATATACTGTACGTATGTTGTTAAAATGAGTCGGTTTAAGACTTTAGAGAACTGATTTTGGGTTTTGTTGCTGCAGGTACGTCTGCAGAAACGAACTGGGTCAGAAGGAACCGAGTTGGACCGCTGTTGCTGTGTTCTGCAGAGCCCGGGGAGTAAAATTTAGTAGCTACAAATACAGAACTGTATGTATGTTGTTAAAATATGGAGAGTGGTGGTGCAGAGGTTAGAGAAGGTGGACCTGTGTTCAGAAGATCGCAGGTTCAAGCCCCAGTACTGACAACATCAAAAATGTGGATGGGGTAGGTGAAGCACCCACACCTGCCCCCACCCTCATTCGTCCCACTCTGGGCCCATGAGCAAGGCCCTTAACCCCCACCATCTGCTCCTCCGGGTGTCCTAGATAGCAGCTCTCTGCTCCACACAGAGGCTGTGGTAGCTCGGTGTCTGTGGTTGTGTCAAGAAAAACATCCCGCGTAAAAATAACTGCCAAGTCTTCGTGCGACTTAGTTCGCTGTGGCGACCCCTGAAGAAGGGAGCAGCCGAAAGAAGAAAAAAAAATGTATGTTGTTAAAATGATGTAGGCTTAAGAGTTTAAAACATTGCAAGAGTGTAGGATGGGTTTCTAAAGTTTCTAAAACTTTGACTTTGAACTTTTACATTGACTAAAGCCTTAAATCTATATAAATACTAAAATAAACATAGTGTCCATAATTCGCGTTTTTTCACTTATCGCGGGGGGGGGGGGGGGGGGTCGGGACCTAACCCCTGCAATAAACAAGGGACTACTGTGATTCCGATTTTTATATAGGTCCACTAAATGCCTTTACATTTGAGAGCCTCTGTAAAAAATCAGCGGAGACGAACTTCAGATATTCCTAGAACAGAGCCATCAACTAGATCGCCCGGAGGCCACAGCTACTGTTAAAAATCTAGTTTTATTTGAAAATGAATCCACTGGTGGACCAAACTGAGCTCACCTGTGGGCCTGATTTGGCCCCTGGGCCACCAGTTGAACAGCTCTGCCCTAGAAGCAGAACAGATTTGTGGCCAGACATCACTGTAGAGCAAGGGCGTCAGAAGCATCCGTAATGTGGGGGGGAAACACTGATGTGTGTAGGTGTGTGTGTACGTACGTGTAACAAAAATAAGTGTACACTAGTGTACAAAAGAAGCAGCATTTCACCTAGATTTCCTTTAATTCCACACATTTAAAACATGTTTCTCACCAAGTTTGTGTAAATTCAGCTGTAGGTTTTAGAGACATTTTAACTTTAATACACTTTAATACACTTTAATACAGAGCGTCAGATCGGCACTATTTGTCTTTATAGAGAAATATAAAACTGGACTTTTTTTTACATGTGTTCAACACTACTCATCTAAATGATGTTTCTCATGAAGCTTGAGGACAATAAGGTGTGGGGTTTTAAAGACATTTCAAATTTAATGCACCTGAGCACACGGTGTCTCTTACACCTGCAGAGTCTGACAGCCTCACAGTTACTGCTAAGCTAAGATGCTACAGATGTAGCACTCTACTTCTCTCAAGCATCTTCCTAACATGAATATATGTTTATGATCAACACCCCCAATCCCCCCCAAACAACTGCCCGTACTAAGCTCGCTAAACTGGCGAGCGAGAAACACAGGTGTTTCCATCTCCTTCACCTTTGCGCGTTTATGAGACTCAGAGCAAAAACACTGAGGCAGCAACGCTGCTGTGTTTAGAGTTGGAGGTAACCAGGAAAACCTGGAGTGGAGTTTTAGTGGTTTGAGTATTCTTCCATTAATCAACTGGAATGGATTTGTTCACAAAGAAAGAAACTGTGCCAACAGACCTAATGTTTATAGTAAAAGTGGGGGGTCCAAATGAACGTTTTTTGAATTTTTTTTTCATTTACCCTTTATTTATCCAGGTAGTCTCATTGAGCCACGAGAACTCATTTACAAGAGAGACCTGTTTAGGGAGCAGATGGTGGGCGTTAAGGGCCTTAGTGGGGCAAATGAGGGTGGAGGGAGGTGTGAGTGTTCCACCTTTTCCACCCACATTTTGATGTTGACAGTACCGGGAGTTGAACCTACGACTTTCCGATCACAGGCCCATCTTCTAACCTCTGTGCCACCACTCCCCCATGTGTGAATGCGGGGGGGACATGTCCCCTTCACATATAATGGTTGCGACGCCTATACTGTAGAGCCCCGCCTCTCATCTCGTCCAACAAAATTGTTTTATTTTGGATTTAAGGAGCAAAACCTCACTTGTAATGTGCACAAGTAAACATTTGGTAGTAAAAGTCTGTTCCACATGCATGCAGGCTGCAGCATGAGACGCTCCACGGCTGAAAACAGCTGACTGCTGCTGGCTTCAGCCAAAGCAGGAAGTCATTAATGGCTGCAGCGTACTCCCGCAGCTCACTGCTATATCTGGGTCAGTACAAATGAGAAACCTTTAGAAACTAACGTTTCTACCACAAGTAGACTTGAACAAATAAAGAAAACAATTTTTAAAATGTGAAGAAAAAAAAGATTAGAAAATAACCTCCATGTTCAACCACCAGGAGACACAAGTAAGTTTGACTGAAAACAAGGCCTCATGTTGGGCTGGACGATCTCCATAAAACTTCAGACTGGAGTATTTTTAAATTGCCAAAAATAATTCACTTTGGGTGAACTTTAGGGAAAATATCTTATTTTCTTTAAAAAAAATTGCTGTAAATTTAAATTGTCTATTTTTTTAAAACCTGAAATGTTTAAATATATATATATATATTTTGTCTTTTAACTTGAGTTTTTTTTTTCCAAGCTGAGATAGCTCTAAAAGAATGACCTGGGGCAGCTGTGGCTCAGCAGTTGTCCTCCAACGGGAGAGTTGGGGGTTCAATTCCACCAGAAGTCACATGCTGAAGTGTCCCTGGGCAAGACACTGAACCCCTCATTGTCTCAGAAGTGTGTTGCATCATTGTATGAATGTGATAAATCACTGATTAATCTTGTACAGATCTAGTAGAGTGCTGTATGAAAGGAGAGATGAGGACACAGATTGTTGTAAAGAGCTCTGAGTATCTGGATTAGAGAGAAAGGAGCTATTATAAGTACAGTCCATTTACCAATTCTTTCTGGGATATAATATTAAAAAATAGTATTTTAAGCAGTTAAATAAGGTGTGGATTTTTCCTCTGTCATAAAGTTGAAGGGACTTCTGGGGGTTAAACCCCCTGAAACTGGGGCTCTACCAGGACAAGATTCATGTGTGAATGTTACAGAAGTTTAGACACTTTGCTAACGGTTCCAACAGACAAGCAGCAGAGGAAGATATCATCACCAAACAACGCAGGCTGGTTCAGAAAAACACGCAGAAACTTGCCTTTTGATTCAAATCAGCCATGTGGGCAACGCTCTGCAGTGCCACTGACCGTAAACAGCTGTAGAAGACGTGAGGGGCTTGGATGGCAAGCAGTTGGGTCATGTAATCAATACTTAATTTTTTTAACTATTCATTTCAATTCAACCTTTATTTATACAGGTTAGTCTCCATTGAGCCTCGTGGACTACTGCTGCAAGTCGACCTTTATTCAATATCCCTGATGTGAAGCTTTACTTTCTCACACTAGCACTAATCTGGCTGAGAGGTTTGATTATTTCACATATTATTTGGTTTATATTTTCACGTCAGGAGTTGTTCAGTTCTGTTGCTCTTTATTTTGCGTCAGGTCTGAGTAACGTTACATGAAAATACACTCTTAGGTTTTGTATTTTAGTTCAGTTTTGTAGTACTTTCTTGAGCTACCTTTCTGGAGTTTATCAAATTTCCTGCTCGACACATGACCTATAGATTCTGTTACACCCCCATCTTTATGTAATGTATTCAATAATGCAACAAAACAGAAAACTTTTCTCCTGTTTGAACAAGTACAAGTCCACCATAAATCAAACTGAACTATGTAATTATTCTGAGTCCCTGTAAAGCTGATTGTAGCGTCCAGATATTTAACTTCTCATTATGTTAGCACTGAGAAAAGTTGGCGTTGACTGTACAGGAAATGTCAAGATTACTGGTGATTTTGAAGACAATATTCATTATTATGGGGAGTGGTGGCGCAGAGGTTAGAGAGGTGGGCTTGTGATCCGAAGATCGCCGGTTCACGCCCCGGCCCCGACAACATCAAAAATTGTGGGTGGGGTAGGTGAAACACCCACACTTGCCCCCACCCTCATTCGCCCCGCTCTGGGCCCATGAGCAAGGTCCTTAACCCCACCATGTGCTCCCTAAACAGGTCTCTCTTGAAAATGAGTTCTCGTGGCTCAATGAGACTAACCTGGATAAATAAAGGCTAAATGAAAAAAAAAAAAAAAAAAAAAAAAAAAAATTATGTTATTAAGACCTATGTGACGAACGTTGATGCTTGTGTAAAGTTTTTCATGTTTTTTACAACATATTTATTGCTGTGAGTTCAGAAAAATTTAAGACGAAGACAAACTTCTACGACAAAAACTTGACTCATCCATTGTATTCTTAATTATTAAACGGCATGTTTTTATTGTTTCTACTAGACGTCTGTGCTGATTTCAGCATTTATTCAACACATTGGGGGATATTTTTAGGGTTGTTTTATTTTTTTTATTAGAAATAATGTGATCGGTCATTTTCTCACATTGTTGTAGATGAAGGTGGCATGAAAAGGTGGTTAGTAGAGCCCAACAGATATATCGATAGGGCCGATAATTTAGGCCAATATAGGTGTTTGGGGGCCTATTGGTATCGATGATAATGGTCCCATTATGCGCCGATATAAACGCTTCTAATTTTCACCCCTAAAATCCTGGAACCAGCTGTAATTGTACAATGTATCCAGCAGATGGCACATGAAGACTACTTTCAAATCATATTTTTATTCAACCTTTATTTATACAGGTTAGCCTCGCTGAGTCACGAGAACTAATTTTCAAGACTGTTCATTGCTGTTCACTTAAGTTTCACTTTCACATTCAACACAGACGAAGCAGGGAGCAATACTGTATAGCAAATTTTGCTGAACAGAGTAAGGTAAGTTTATTTTAACTGATCTATAAAATAAATTAACAATAACAAATTCTCTTCAATCCTCAAACCCTCTTGTCGTTAGCTACGTGTCTCTCAAGTTAGCAAGTTAACGTTTAGATAACATGGCATAGGCTATTGCCTTGTAAAACTTAATCAAGAGCAATAAATCTAACGTCGAGGTAAAACATATCAGTGTTAGTAATGTTATCTTTGTCACCCTCAGAGAAATGTGTTGTTTGTCTGAAATCTTTACTTCTTTGCAAAACAAACAAAAAAAAACCCGCAGCTGTGTTCAATACTAATTAAGACGTTCACCATACATGAATGACTGTTTAAATAATGAACAGTGAGGATTGTTTAATTTAGATTTTTTATAACACACTTGATAACTTTATGGTGAATAGTGGAGAATAGAAAATGTGAACGAACGTTAGGAAGACTGTTTTTATGACCAGCGCACCACCTGTAAACCCACTGTGGCACTACGTATTGCGTGGATCTGATTAGCTTAGCTTCATGGTTGCTAACAGCTGCTAAATAAACAAGCCCCACTCCACTCACTGTTTTCTTAGATTCTTGGGGATGGACAAAGCTAAAAAAATTTCAGCCATTATATCGGTTATCGGCAGTTGCCTTTCCCTCCCAATATCGGTATCAGCCAAAATTTCCATGTCCATCGGGGCTCTAGTGGTTAGTACTACTGAGTGAAAAAGTTTACAGTCCAAATCTCAGCTGAGGTCTTTCTGAGTGGCATGATTTCACATGTACGTTTTCTTATGGGAATCTGTTGTTCTCACACATCCAAAAAAACATGCATGTCAAGTTAACTGAAGAATCTGAACTGACTCCTTGGTGTGAATAGATCTGTTGTTTAAAATGATATTTATCTACCCTGCTGCGTTTGGACCGTGCTAAAAACAGGTCTGAACTTCCTCAATGCAAACTGAAAATGTTTCTCAGACCATTATTTCATCTGCAAAGTTAAATGGTCTGAACTCAGCCCGTTCTGGACAAAGCTGTAGGACCTCATACTGGTATGACCAAGCACAAGCAGCAGACAGTCAGTTCAGCAGCCAGCTGATTATAGATAATTAAACTATGATTCTTGGGACTATTAGAAAGACACAGCTTTTTGTTTGTTTAGGGGTTTTTTCTTGAAAAAACTTTTAAACTGTTTATCAAAGGCCTTCTCAGTATAAATGTACTTTTGGTTAAAATGTTATTGTTCCTGGTGAATTACAAAATGACCTTGTGTTTAATTTTTGCTGATTGATTTTGGACCTGTTGTTCAGTCAGAGGACAACAGTCTGGGCGGCATCATGATGCATTTTATTCACCTAATTAAACAGAGCTAGTGTTAGACTAATACTGAAGCTCAGAAGAGAACAGCTGAAGGCTGTATTGTGGATTTTTACAAGTTAATATCTTCAACCTTTGATCCGACACTGAGCTCTGTGAAGTCTCTTCTCATGGTATGGAAGTCTTTATTTCTCTTACATAATAATGAAGCTCATCAAGAGATAACACTACAAAAATACAACTCGGATGGGTCAGAACTGTTATTATCCAAGACAGCTGTCAGAATATATCATCATTTAGAGACTGCTGAAGTCCTGTTTGTTGCTCGATGACAGCCCTCTGACGTGGCTGTGAAGGTATCTACATACACAGAGGGTAATCAACATCAGATCACTTATTAAATGTTTAGATGCAGCTCTGTAGCATATTTTTCACTAAAAACAACTGAACTACATCAAAAAAGCCTTTTTAAACCAACACAATAACAGCTACTTTATACATTTGCTTTATTAGATCGCAGGAAGAGGGCCACCTGCATCATGAGGGACCCCACTCACCCCGCACACACATTTTTTGCCTCACTCCCCCCAGGAAGGAGGTTGAGGAGCATTTAGTGTAGAACCACTAGATTGAGGAACAGCTTCTACCCTGAGGCTGTTAGACTCATGAATCTCTAACCAGAATAGTCACTGAAAAAAATCACATCATGTTGCTGCTGATCTATTTCAATGTTGCTGCTGATCTGTTTCATGTTGCTGTGTTCATTCATACTCATCTGCTCACACACTCATGTTCGTGCTGCTGATTTGTTTCATGTTGCTGCTGATCTGTTTCAATGTTCCTGCTGATCTGTTTCATGTTGCTGCTGATCTGTTTCATGTTGCTGTG